TATAAAAAAAAAATAACTGGTGGCATTGCTAATACTTACAGTTACTGTCTATGGACTTAAGCCCTTGCTTTGGGAGCTTCCTAGTTACATAATCATGAAGTTGTTGTTAGTAGGTGCTGTTGAACCCTAAACGCAATAGAACAAACAACACCCAGTCCTGTTCCATCCTCAGATTGTTGCTGTGCCTGAGCCATTTGCTACTGCCACTGTGTCCATCCATCTTGTTGGGTCTTCCTTTTTTTTCCATTACTTTCCACTTTACCAAGCATGATGTTCTCCTCTCCAGGGACAGGTCCCTCCTGACAACATGCCCAAAGAATGAGAGGCAAAGTTTTGCCATCTTCACTTTTAAGGGGCATTCTGGCTGAACTTCTTCCAAGATAGGTTTGTTTGTTCTTCTGGCAGTCTATGGTAATTTCAATAAACAACAATAGTAACATGATAGCAATTATTATAAATAACAATATACAAAGTCTAAAGATTTGGCTTTATTCATATGATCTTCCTCTGTGATCTTGGGATGTGCTCTCTACTTATACAGTCGTATACTTTTGGCCATCTGCCAGTTAAAATTGAGTTTAGTATTCATGGACAAACTGGTCCTGAGCAGATGGGGCTAAAGGGATACTACAAAGAAATGTATTAGCCAGGTCTAACACAGAATATTCATCAGTTCTCTATTAATAGTTTTTAATAGAGATGTTACATTTGGGACTGTTTTCATTATCTTTACTAGCAACTGGAATCTTACAGAGAATCTATCCTTGGAATGTATTTTGCCAAAGAGAATGGTTTTGAAATGATTCAGTCAGTGTTTCTTAAGGGTGAATTCTGCTCTGATTATTAGTCAAATTCATAAATCATTTGTTCCTTGAGTCAGCTATTTAGAAGTTAGCCGTAGCCCTACATATGACTTTTGCCTATCTCTTTTTAACTGTTGTTGTTGTTGTTGTTGTTGTTGTTAGGTGCCATCTAGTCAATATTGACTCATCATGACCTTCTGCACAGCAAAATGAAACACTGCCCGATTCTGGGCAGTCTCACTACTGCTGCCACACTTAAGTCCATCAATGCTGCCACTTGGCCAGTCCATCTTGTTG